AAAGCTGTTCTCTCTATTGGTTCTGAAAGAAGGTCCTTTAGCATCTGTAAGCCCAGCATTCCTTGGAGATCTCTAGCTGTGTGGGACACAGGAATCTTGGCCCAAAGGACATATGCTCTTCTTTCTTGGTGGGACTGGGATGCCCTTCTGTGTTCATTTCCTCTCTTCTTTTGTCTCCCAAGAGACAAAGGTGGCACATGCCATGCCTCAGTAAATCCCCCTTTCATCATCAGATCAAGCAGTGACCTAATTAAGATTGTTGGCATCCCAACCTAATCTCTTTGTAACTGGTTGATCCTATCTCAGATCATATCATGAGGAATCAATACATAGTTACATAACCGCCTTTAATCCTGCCTCCAATGCATTGGAGCTCTGGTGGCCTATGGGTAAAGGAGCTATGTTATCATCCCAAAGGAATGTGGTTCTAGTCTATCAGCTGCTCCAGAGAAGGATGAATAATCTCCTCCCTTGCAATTAAACTGCCTTTGAAAACTTGCTGTAGGGTCAGCTATGAGTTGGTTCCAACTTGAAGGTACACAACTGGTGGCCTAGTAGTAAGAAGTTGTGCTGCAATTGCAAAGGCATTTGGTTCAAATCCACTAGCTGCTCTGCAGGAGAAAGATGGACAATCTCCTCCTGGGTGATTTACTGCCTCTGAAAACTTGCTTGAGAGGTTTCGACTCAATGGCATATAGCTAGCTACAAAAAACATTAAATCCATAGAGACATAAAAGAACATCAGTGGAAAATCTAGTGAGGTCTGAGTAAATTCTGTAGTTTGGTTAATTAATTTTTGTAAATTGAATTTTGTCTCCCCAAGAAATATTTGTCAACTTGGCATGGCTATGTATAATGAAATTATTCCCTCATGATATAAATTCTAACTTCTATGAATTTCATAAGGCAGGGTTAAAGGCAGTTAAGATGTAGTGCTTCTTATATTTTCAGGGAGCTTTGGTGACTTACCTTAATATTATAATATTACCATAAATTATAATTTAGGAACCCTGGTAGTTTAGTGGCAAGGAATTGTGCTGCCAACACAAAGGTCCATGGTTCAAATCCACCAGCTGATCCACGGCAGAAAAATAAGTAATATCCTTCTGCACAATTTACTGACTCTGAAAAGCTGCTTCAGCTATGGGCTAGTTCTGACTCAAAGGTACATAGCAAAAGCAATAACTGGTGACTTGGTGATAAGGAGTTACACTGCCAAACAAAATACACAAGATTTGTAAAATGACAAAATGAAAAATTTTATTAAAAAATAAAGCTATGTAAATAAATACCAGCTCATCTTTCATAACACTAATTTTCCTACAAATTAAGAATATCACTTTCACTCCTTGTGCCTTAGTTAAAGTCCGATGGTTCAAATCTACCAAATACTCTGGGAGAATGATGGGCAGTCTCCTCCCTTAAAGATTCAGTGTTGGAAACTCGCAGCTTGAGTTGGACGATACAGTGGGTATCACGTTCCGCAAGACCACCATCTAGTGGCAAGTGCAGCTATTTCACTCTTCGGTCCTAACCAAGAGATGGGTGGAAGGAAGCCAGCAGCTCTGCAGGAGAAAGACGAGTCACTCATAAATATTTACAGCCTGAAAAAGTGATGGAGGGTCGCCAGCAGCTCGAACCGCCTGGAGGGCAGTGGTTGCAGTTTTGGTTTATATAGCCCTATGGTTCTCAAGGTTTTTTTCTCCAACTGCACTGAACATTCCTCCTAAAAAGAGAGAAATAGCTCAACAGCTGCATGAGAACATATGTAAAAATTGAAAGGTTTTGCTTGTTTGTTAATAACCACAATCTTGGTTCCCACTACTCCTTATTTTCTCGCTCATTGCCATGGAGTCTAGCTGACCCTCCATTGGTTTTCTGAGGCTGTAAGTCACCTGGGAGGTGACTGCCCATCTTCCTCCCTCGGGGCTGCTGGTAAATTCAGACCAGAGTGGTTCTGCCTTAGGTTAGCAGCACAGCTCCCACGCACCATGTTATCATTAACCCAAAACTTGTTGCCACTCCTAATGACCCTACAATTTTTTTCTTATAGAAAACTGGCAGAAAACATCATTTGTATATTCCTACTTGGTGGCTAATGGGTTCCATAACCAAGGGGCCAGTAGTTCAAATCTACCAGTTGTTCTGTTGGAGAAGCAGCAACTCCTCTCATTAAGGTTTATAGTCACAGAAACCTGTGGAGAGTCACTGTAAGCCAAAGCCACTTCCCTGCAGGATGTGTTTTTTTTAATACTTTGAACATCCAGAGAATTTTTAATATTCCCAAGCAGCCAGTGTTGTTGTTTTTTCCCCTCTACGTGTCTACTACATATACACAGGAACTCTGGTGAACTAGCTGATAAGGGGGTTGTGTTGCCAACTCAAAACCAAGAGGTTTGAATCTACCAACTGCTCCTCAGTGGGAGATGGGCAATCTGTTCCTGAGGGATTTACGGCCTTCTAAGTGGAAGCATTCTGGAATTCCCATTCTTCTCAATGTTAATTGTAATTTGTTATGATCTGCCTAGACCAAGAGGCTGTTGTGTGAACAGAGCAAGTGAACACTATATGGTTTTAAAAATTAGGAAAGGTGTGAGTCAGGATTGTGTCCTTTCTCCATACCAACTTAATCTGTATGCTGAGAAGATTGTTCGAGAAGCTGGATTCTATAAAGAATGTGGCGTTAGGATTGGAGGAAGACTCATCAATAACCTTCCACGTGCAGATGATAAAACCTTGCTTGCTGCTTAAAGTAGGGAGGATTTGAAGCACTTGCTGCAGAAGATCAAAGATTGCTGCTTCGATATGGATTGCATCTCAACATCAAGAAAATCGTAGCTATTGTACCAATAGGCAACATCACCATAACTGGAGAAATGATTGGAACTGTCAATGACTTCATCTTATTTGGATCCACAATCAATACACGTGGTACTAGCAGTCAAGAGATCAGGAGACATAATTGCACTGGGAAATTCTGCTGGTAGGGATCTAGCAAAAAATTATAGAGGGGCAATGATGTCAGTTTGAGGACTAAGGTGTATCTGATCCAGACCTGGTCTTTTCAATCACTTGCTATGCCTGTGAGAGCTGAACAATGACTAAGCATGACATAAGAATTGATGCCTTTGAATTGTGTTTTTGAAGAAGAATGCTGAATATCCCATGGGCTGCCAAAAGAACAGGTAAATCTTGGAGAAGGTACAGCCATAGTGTTCCTCGAAGGCAAAGATCATGAAGCTCTGTCTCAAATACGCTAGGCATGTTGCTAGGAGAGGTTATTCCTTGGAAAGGGACATAATTGCTTGGAAAGGTGGAAGGATGGCGAAGGGTAAGACAGACCCTCAATGAGATGGATTGACACAATGACTGGGAATGGGCTTGAGGGTGTTGGAGACTGAGAGGATGGCACAGGATAGGACAATGTTCAGATTTGCTGTTCACAAGGTCGCTATGAGTTGTACTTGACTCGATGGTACCTAACAACTCAGTTGTAAATCAGTTCTGATATGTCATTGATTGTCAGTGAGGTGTCTTACTAAAAGAGTATGTACTTGTTTAAAAACAAATAAAAAAAAGAGGATATGTGCTTGGTATGTAGATTGCTTCCAATGGTTTATTTACAATTAATACTTAATTAAAAGAGACATCTTATACACACCCATGTTTATTGTGGCTTTGTTCACAACAGCAAGGAGTTGGAAACAACCTAAATGTCCATCAACAAACGAATGGATAGAGAAGCCGTAGTATAGTCACACAATGGAATACTACGCTGCATTGAAAAACAAGGAA